TTAGTCAGGGGAGATTCAGGTTGAGTGTTAGAAAGTATTTCTTCTCTGAAAGGGCTGTCAGCCACTGGAATAGGCTGCCGAGGGAGGTGGTTGAGTCCCCATCCCTGGATGTGTTTAAGAATAGGGTGGATGAACTACTTAGGGATATTGTTTGATGGGAGATTAGGGACGGTTGGACTGGATGATCTCTAAGGTCTTTTCCAACCTAGAAAATCTATGAAATCTATGAAATCTATGAAGATGGATCGTAACTGCTGCCTCAGCAATGATTGAGAAATCGTGTCCTGAAGCTGAACTTTGCTCATTATAATGTCATTATAATACCAAAACACACCTCCACCTCAAAAGCTACCCGCCTCCGGGCTGCAATCACCCCTCACCGAGAATGCGCCTTGAAATTCTTCTAGTCTGTACCTTTAAATCAAAGCAAGGAAAATTTACACCAATCCTAACAAAGGTATGTATGACTAGAGTCATTCAAGCTTCACCTGAAAGTAAAGAAAGAGTATAAAAATGGCTTAAGAGAAGGGGGCGTTGGGGAAGACCTCTATTGGAACGTCTGGGATCAGTCCATGGGCTGGACTCTCTTCTTGCCACGGGGATGCCTGTTTGGTAAGAGCTCTGTGTTATGTGCACTTAGGTACTAACATCTTGCTAGCTATTGAAAATTATCACTGATTAGTTGTGTTTTACACTGTTCCAAATCTGTTTTTGCAGTCAGTATCTGTCACCAGCTATCTTCAAATCTGTATCCTGTCACAAGCATATGTAATAAAATTTGTCATCTATAAACGTAAGTTTCCAGAAACTTCAAGAATTGATACAGGGGATATATGGGATTTGGCCCTGTGTCGCTGCCCATGAGGGTCCCCGAATAAGTCAGACAACCACCCTCTGACCTAGCGGGCTGTCCAGAGGGATTTGTCCCAGTGATGCTGTCACTGTAAGCCTGACAGACCAGTCAAATTGTAAAGGGTTCGAGGTAATGCCCCTTTTCCTTAAAATGGAGTGTGGCAGGCGGGTTGAGTACAAGGGTCTCGTTTTTATTGGGAAACTGGTAGACTGGTCAAATTGACAGGAGACAATTTCTATGGTCCTGTCACATTACAACGCAACATTAGGTCAATAGAGGATAGAGAGGGGGACTACCTCGAACCTCTCTATTGACCTAATGTTGCGTCGTAATGTGACAGGACCATAGCAGTTGTCTCCTGTCACTGGAGAAAGACAGGTGTCTCCTGATAGTTGCTTAACTCATTTAAGATCTGAATTGGTGCATGTCTTTCTTCATTGATAAAATGAGGCTGGTAAACTCCAATTTCTGATTTAGGTATCTAAAATCAAGTGGGATAAAATAGGGTCCTAGCTATCTCACCACAGCATGTCTTCGAGGACTTACCTGTTCCGCTGATCGAATGTTTTTGAGTTCCCACTGAAAATAGCTCCCTATTCTATAAGGTTAGCCTGAATTCTTGACACTGCAGATACGATGTTAACTTTACCAGTATTAAAATTCATATTGCTCATGGGAACCAAGCTTAACGTGCAATCCAGAGGATCCCTATCATACAAGACACATTTTAGAGGATAATTTCTCTGAATCATTGACATTTTTATGCCTTAGTTACACTCCATGTGTTATTTAGGTTTACTAATATGAAAATTTCTCCCCAGTTCTCCAAGAGCACAAGGAAGGAGTCATGGGAAGGAATCTAAATATTCTGGCGTGGCAAAGGGTTACAAAGTCTTTCTGTACATAAAAGATTCAAAAAAGCAGTGAAAACACATTTGAATACTTACTAATCAGATTCACTGAATATTGCTTTTACTGAGGAAAGGCTAATATTCAAATCAAGTGAGTGAACTTGACATGATTCTTACCTTTTGCCAAAAATAACCACTTGGCTAACTGTTTCTAGTATTCCTGAGGCAGAGAATTTGATCTTTAAGAAAATTATCTTTTTATTTTTTGATTCCTCTAAGAACATAAGACTCATTCTTGTAA